ACTCTTATGGAGAAGATATTCTATTCCTTTTGTCTTTGGTCATTGCAAACACTAAAACCTGCAGATGGATGAGACTGAATTTATAGGATGAAAAATTCTTTCTGGCATCATGCCACAATTGGCAATTGCCATTTGATTGGGAACTCCTGATCAAACTTCCAAGATGATAAAGAAAGAACAAGAAGTGTACATCCGGGGTCCTAAGGCTCTATGAGATAAGTCAATCACCTACAAGAATTCTCTCAGGGCAGTTGGCCCAAATACTACATTATCAGACTATGTTGCCAAAGTTGGTCCATTCATTTGTATTATGGACACCTAGGATGCCCAGTCTTCATCTTGTGCAAATCAAGCAAATTCAGACTGGCTTTTGAAGTCAGTCTCAAACATACAGCCTGATGGAGCATGGAATACTCGGCAGATTGCCGTTCTGAGGACAATGAAAACTACACTGAGAACTTCTGTAGCATTTGAACACCATGTAGGAAAGTAACAGCAAGCTCTTTCATGTGTAGACATAAGGTCGATTGAAAGTTCATCCAAATAACCATTCCATCAGTCAGTATCAAAATGCATGTGGAAACCAACTCACTTCCAGATGCATGGGTAGGTGGTAGTAATTGATGTTGTTTTTCCCTAGGGCCATAATTTTCCACTCGACTCGAACGCTCAAAGGGATGTTCCTTGTAGAAGTGTGTCTGAGTAAAGTCAATAATACTGTAGCAGTACAGATACAGCCAAGCACCACATCCCACACATTTATGAATCTGAATGCTGAATCTGTTATGTCCTCAATGGAAAGGAGTGCTAATGAATGGAGGGCAAATGTGGCATGGAACTGATAGGGTTTCATTACTCCACAGAATGCCATCACATTCAAAGCACAAGTCTGAAGACTCCAGAGAAATTACTCAGTGCAGAGGGCATTGAAGGCAGACTCCAATTCTTGCTTCTAAATTTGGGCTCCTCGATCACCCTGATGCATTCCACATTTTTTTTAAGTTGACTTCACTTCCACAAATTTCATGATTTACTTTACTTTTCATCATGAACTATAAAGGAACTTCGGAGTGTCATTTCAAAAAATACCAAAACAGGAATCATAACACAGTCTCAGGCACAAGCAAATGATGAATTGAAGCAAGGAAATGACATGTGAGCAGTGACACAAGTGCATGCAACATGGTGAAGTTCAGCATACATTGCTGCTCATTGATTCCAAGTAAGGACAAAAAAACACAACATTTACTGAAATGCCTAAAATTACACTAACTCTAATGGAGAAGATATTCTATTCCTTCACAGAAACCAGTAACGTTTGTGATTTTGGACGTCTACCTACTCTGACTTAAATATCCTACTTTTTAAGAAAGACCGTAGTACGGTGTTAACCGTTAACGGTAAACTAACCCTTGAGGACTAGTTTGACAAGAGTTCAAAGATGGGAATCTCACTTACCTTTATTGAAAAGGGGTAGCAAGTGGTACATGGTAAGGCTACATGCCTCATTCAAGCCCGTTTCCCTTTGACCTTTGATGACCTTTCTTTTCCTTCTTCGAGTGTGTAAAGGGCATTGTCACCAAGATGCATCAGTGCCAGTGGTACTTAAAAAAAAAAAACAAAGAAACAGGAGAACTGCATTCTTCCTGAGATTCCAGTATATTCAGTTGCTCAGCAACCGTACCTCTAAACATGAAAGCAAATGCAAAGAAAGAGTGAGGAAAACACAAACAATGAAGTCCTGATCCGATCTTTATATCGGACTTCTGGAGGTCCGGACAGTGTCTTTGTTGCAAACTTTGTAAACGCTTTAAACTGTATGCGTGTAGTAAACCAAGTTACAATCGATTTGTGGCGGGCCGGTTCCAAGAACTACTCAAAAAGAAGAACGGAGACTTCAGCAAAACATCATTCAAACAAATTTTCAGGCACGGGTCAGTTCAGCTGGGCCACTCGGACCTCCCGAACGAGCGCGCCCTTGTCCACGTGGCGCGCTCTCCCCGTCGTGCAGTGACGTCATCGTGACGTACGGGGCATAGTCTGCTCTGGCAACATGAAGGAAGTCTCTCAGAGCTGGCCTCTCAGTCTCTCGCGTGCATCCGTGATCTCTGCGCAGATATTCTCATCCGCCCGCGCTCAGACGAAATGACGGCCTTTTCCTTTTTTTTAAAATGGAATCTTGTGATTCCCTTGATCGCCATTAGGTAGCTCCAACTCATCTTTCATGTTTATGTGTGTGTGTGTGTGTGTGTGTGTGCGTGTGTGTGTGTGTGTGTGTGTGTGTGTGTGTTGGGGGGGGGGGGGTTGTTTGTTACTTCAGGACTAGGCTAGAAATATAGCCTGAAGACCTCCAGGCCTGTCACAGAAACAACGTTTGAAACATTTGCGAAATTTGACATACGCACATCATTTGGTTCAATGTTAGCTAAACATGCGGGCCGGTTCCAAGAACTACTCAAAAAGAAGAACGGAGACTTCGACAAAACATCAAACAAATTTTCAGGCATGGGTCAGTTCAGCTGGCCCACTCGGACCTCCCGAACGAGCGCGCCCTTGTCCACGTGGCGCGCTCTCCCTGTCGTGCCGTGACGTCATCGTGACGTACGGGGCAAAGTCTGCTCTGGCAACATAAAGGAAGTCTCTTAGAGCTGGCCTCTCAGTCTCTCGCGTGCATCCGTGATCTCTGCGCAGATATTCTCATCCGCCCGCGCTCAGACGAAATGACGGCCTTTTCCTTTTTTTTAAAAATGGAATCTTGTGATTCCCTTGATCGCCATTAGGTAGCTCCAACTCATCTTTCATGTTTATGTGTGTGTGTGTGTGTGTGCGTGTGTGTGTATGTGTGTGTGTGTGTGTGTGTGCGTGTGTGTGTATGTGTGTGTGTGTGTGTGTGTGTGTGTTGGGGGGGGGGGGGGGGCGTTTCTCCCGAACCTCGTTTTGTTCCAGTAAATCGTAAAAAGGAGATAGTTGTCATTCGGGACACAAATAGTTCTCGAAACATGAATATTTCTCTATGCATTGGTTTGTGGAAGATCTTCGCTCAAACCTTTTTCCCCGGAAATTCCTTCGCTTCAGCGAAACGGGCGTTAAAAAAAAAAAAACACTCAAATATCTCGTGGAAGTGGCTGGTTTCACGTAAGGTCTTCCGCTTGGAGCGATGGACGCTTTATCGACGAAGGGATGTGGACGCTCCTGAGGGCAATTCTTGAGGGCAATTCCCGGGACGGTCGCGACCGACTCGCGTCGATTGCATGTATGATGGAGAGCTAAAATCTTGTTCCTGAGTCGTTCTCGGGGAATTCAGGGAAAATCCCAGCGTGGCAATCAAAATAAAATCATTCATAAAATTAAGTTCGTATGAATTTTAACAATTAAAATCCGAATGTTTTTTTCTTATTTAAATATACCTCTTTAAAAAATGAAATCGTGGAACGTAACAGTGGAAACTTCCTCAAATTTAATTAAATTAATATTGAGAGTTATATCTTTGTATTATATAATGCCTTTGTGAGAAGGTACACATTAATTTAATGCCGAAAACTCCAAGCCTTTCAGCGGAACCACATCAGGAACGTAATGAATATATAATAAAATTCAAAACTTTTTTTTACCGCGTCCTTTACAAGCGGCGAGCCGACAATGCAAGCAGTAAATGGCAAGGATCACATTCTTAAAGCCACGCGTTCGTTTATGTCTCACAACGATTAAAAGTCGGGAATCGGATATGGATTGAAAATATCATGCAAGAATGTTTTTCGTCGGCTGAATGCAGTATATCCACCGAAGCCTAACCATCCGACCTTGAAATAAATAATAATTGGTACGGCATACGGTACCGCCAGGACGTTTGAGGCAGGTGGCAAAAATGATTATTTTTCAAGAAAATGGCCGAAAAAATATAACTCTCTTCTTTCAAACAAAATGCAAATGATTAATTTTTTTTTTTTTTGGTCGAAATCGTTCTTTTGTTCGTTATTATCTTATTCTAGCTTCACTTTAAAGCGTATTAAAGTTAAAAGTTTTTCGCATTTTTTTTATAAGACTTCATCTCGTTAGTATTATACTTAGTCAATTTTGTCATAATTATTGCATTTGTACTAATTGGAACAATTATATTGCACATGATCTCGCAACGGATATTCAGTCGGATTCAATTTTCCATTTAAAATTGTTTTCCATAAAAAGTCGCGAAAACGGGCAAAAGATCAGAACTAACCGTTCCAGAAAGAGCGAGAATCCTTGTTTACTCGCTAGTTTCGACTGCAGCAAAGAAAGAAGTGTACAAAGAAATTTGAAGCACTTCGAGATATTTGGTACTCGATAATTTGGTAATTTGGTACTCAATATCATTCAAGGTGCTAGTTAGATGAGGACTGATGCCGCCCAACAGTCTAATCTATCAGTCCACGGAATGAAAATAATTTTTGTGATATCGACAGACTCAGAAAAAAATCAGTCCTGGAAATTTATTGCCAGACCTCGTATATGAAAAGGCCGGAACAACAAGACATGTTCTCGATGGTTCGCGCGTCCAAGTCGCGTAGAGACGGGAGAACGATATGAAGTGTAGGATGCCAGATGAGGCATTTCAGGCGCACACCTAGCAACCCTGTCTACCCAGCCGGGAGCAGCCGCTCTCCTCCATTGCATCCAATGGATCCGTCAGCCGCGAGGGCTGGTAGGGAAGTGGATGTTTTAGTGGAAGACGGGCACTCCGACCCAGGTGGAAAGCTGCCCATGCGGAGTGGGTGGTGTTGTCCGGTTGCTATGGATACTGCGGACAGACGGAATGAAGAAGTGACAGACCGACCGCCATGGCTGGCATTTCCCCATAGTACCTATGGGAATGACATAAATTGGTCTCGTCATTCCTCGCTTTAACTGTTTACATTCGGATAATTAGAAGTATAGCGAAAATTACCCGAACGGCAATTAGGAGGGTGACACGCACGATCGATGAACCATGGCCTCATTAGAACTATCGCCTTAGCGGGCGGGGAATGAAAGGCGGAGCACCAAAGCAACAGGATGGCAGGGATGGGCAGGAAATTCAGTCTACACCCGTCACGATGGAAGGAAGTGCGAAGGATCTGTTGTCGGTGCTCGCCTTGGCCGGATTCGGTGCTTTCTTTCCCCCAGGATGGATCAGCGGATGGGGACGCCTCTACTGCCTCCTTCTAATCCTCGTCGACCTCTCGCTTCTCGGACTTCAGGCGCAGATGGCCTACGATCAATTCAAACTCCAGGATGCACTCATGGGCCTAATGACGTCCGGCTTAGATCTGTCTTTCTGCATCGTCCTCTTCGCTTTGGCGGTGTTGGATGCGCGAATGCAGTGGCGTTTTCCCGTGCTTTTGGGTCTCCTCGATGCCTTGGAGAAGGCTCCTATCCCCCAACCGCCATTTTGTGCCAATCCTGAAAGTTCTCTCGGTCACGCGACCCACTTAGAGGCTCCCTTCCCCACGTGCACAAAACAGGGCTTAATGGTTTCGCAGCGTGAATTGCGCAAGTTCTTGGCACTCATCGTATCCCTTGGATTCGTCCTGTACACTTTCGTATTTGTTTTTCACATAATAGACGCAAATCAGAATCGAGGATGGTCGATCCTCGCCATGGTCGCCTACGTTCACACATACGTGAGATTTACTTGTTTCCCCGACATTTTTTTCATTTATGGCTGTCGACTTTCCACCCTCTCCCTGCGAACCGTCAATTCTTCACTCAGGAATTTAAAGCTCCCAAGTCGAGAGTGAGTCGATACCAATCCTCGACCAGAACGCACTTGCCCATTCGCGTGCATGCGTTTCCTTTCCTGTGCAGGGCCCACGAAGGATCGAAAGAGATTCTGAAGCGATTCGACGCCGTGAAGGCCTTCGTCCTGGAAGTGTCTGATCTCTTCACGGGATATCGCCTGCTGAACACTCTCTTCCTGATCGTCTTCGTGACCCTGGCTTTATTCAAGCAGTTGGACGATGCCTACGGCTACGCGTTCCATTCTTCTCTCTCCCGTGTCCTCTTTGGCCTCCTCATGCTACATGCCGTCACTTCCTTCGCTCAGGAAGTCAATCTAGAGGTACGTTTATTTTACTTATATGGTTATTCACAATACCACCTCTCGCTGATGAATTTTCGCGATCGATCATTCGGCAATATTTCTTTAAAGGCCGGGAAAACGATTTCAATCGTTCAAGAGCTGAGCTGCGATTCGAACTTGAGCCAGGGCACAGCTGGAACTGTGAGTTTCATTCCTATTATTTTCATCCATGACACATTACGAAACATCCATGATATTCAATCTAGTCTTCAGCTTCGGAAACGGAAGAAGGATTTCATGTTTCTCATGGGTGTCAACACGGTTTCCATGAGCTTTCGCTGCACGAAGCTAAATTCAGGTTTTCGTTTAGGAAGTACAGGACATCCCATATGTCGTGTAAAGCATTAAATAAAATCTCATCTTCTGCTGCATTAATTGGAATTCAATTTAATATCCCAGTTTTGAGAAGAGACGGGGGAAATCTTTAGACATCGATAATAATAATAAAAAACCTAATAATCTGGATGACTTTAAAGCGGCGAGAGTCTCAGAGCAACCTCAATCCAGACAAACATAAAGGCGTAAGGCTAAATCATCTCGCCCATGACCCGTGTAAAGGTGCAAAAATTCGTCCCTTGGAGATGTGTCTCCTATTCCCCTTTAGGAACAGGATTTTCTTCCCCAATAATCGTCACTCTTCAATCGGTCAAGAACTTAAGATTAGGTATTTCTAGATCAAGTAGAGACATCTTCGAAAGCAATGGGTTCTCCTGTGCTGTAGGAAATGAGTCCATTGTGGATAGGAAGGCACCTGCAAATACTACCATAGAGCAGAGAGTGTAACTAGAAGCGACACTCCGAGGGGTAGGGGAGGGTCGAAATATTACAGAGACATCTGGTGGCTTGTTATCAACAACACTTCCATGAAGCGTGCTTCGTGGCAGCGGAATCGGGAATCGACTCGTTTGGGGATTCGACCCAAAGAGATCCCTCAACGTAACACACGTGTCTCGTTGAGTCCGCTGCTCGGCCATGGAGGAGTTGTTGATGTTCGCCCGCCAGGTGGAGGATCGACAGCGACATCTATATTGCGACCCTGTCAATAAATGGGATACGAGCGGTGTGTCGTCTCTAGTTATGCTCTCTGCTCTATGGTACTATTGATACATGGGACTTCTCACTTGTCCCAAGGGGATATCTTTGGTATATACCTGTGCTGTGTGGGAACTGACGTTATCCATGTTGGAAAATAAAAGAAGCAATCTGCTTGGCTCATACATGTCTGAATCGCTGCCTTGATGTCAATGGTTTTCACATATTGGCATATAAAATATAAAGAAAGCTTGGCACCGTTTAAAAGATGAAATCCTTTCAAAACAAAATCTCTCGTCCAGTTGGAGATATTCGTGAGCGAATACCAGATCCAACCAGTGGAATTCACAGCAGGCACCGTCTTCAAAGTGGATCGGAGTCTCTTCACTTCGGTAAGAGTCTACCTCCTCTCCCCCCTTTCATTCGATTGATGACATTTCCGTTGTTTTCTCTTCTTGGAGATCGCAGCGACGGTGACGACATACCTCATCGTCATTCTGCAATTCACGTAACACACTCTCAATTGGGCGTCACGTCGATGAACGGCTCCGCAATGGATTCCTTCATTGGCTTTCATCACTTTTCTCACAGGAACACCGGTCGCTTTGACCAGTCAAAAAATGTTTCTTCACTTTTTTCAAATAAATATTGAACGGAAAGTAATTCGTAATAGTTTCTTTTTTTTTTGGAGATTGGTCCAAATCCCCAAGCATCGCGGCTGACGTGGAGTTTTCTTTTTTTTTTAAATACCAGTTGACTCCGGTTCACCAAGTTGGAAACGAAATCAGAAATAATGGCAGAAAGTTTGAAAAAAAATTTGAGAACGACTTTGGCATTTGAGTTACTTTCAACCTCTATTATTGCATTCGATACTTGAAGTTCAAGCAAGAACACAGAAACGCTGAAGAAACGCGAGCGGAAAACCAAATATGCTCAAGGGAAAGTAACAAATATTCGGAGGTGAAAATACTCATTTCACAAAACTCATTGGATGATGCGAATGAGAAGCTTGAAAATCTTCCACTTCAGAAGAAAATGGCCGTATGAAAGCCAGATATCTCTCCAACTCGTGACTAAGCAGCCATCAATGCAGTTGAGAGTTTTCTCCCGGTTACCCTTTTCCTCCTTGTTTTCTCCTCGAAGCTGTATATAGAAGGAAATAAATTTCAATGCGATTGAAAGCTTACACGTTGTATTGTGCCTTCTATTCTGCGCTTTATTAAAATTTGATTGCACAATGAGCAAAGTCGCTGAATGAGACATGTATTCGCTCTATGCGAGGTAATTTTTTTCTGCTGCTACGCTCTCATCAATTGATTCCTCTTATTCATCTGACTTCATGAAAAAAGGCAAATGTATGCAGGCTTAGATGGTGACGCCCCTAAAATGAGTATGGCAATACTTTTCCTTTTCCTTCTTTCTGTTTTCTCTGAGGGTGGGAAACGACAGGGAAATGGCGCAAGCTCGAGGATTAATGAGCAGGAAATGCGAACGATCGGCCATTATCGAGTTCACGCTCACTCGCTTCGCCGCTTTCTTTTTCTCTTGGATGGATCAACTGATGGGAACGCCACTACTGCCTCCTTCTTACCCTCGTCGACGTCTACCTCTGGTGGAAGTTGACTTCGTCCGATTCCAGCTCCATGGGGCCCCATTGACGCTCGTTTCGGAATTGCGCTTCGCAGGAGGCAGGAATGGAGCAGCGTCTTCCTAAGCTTTTGCTTCGAATTGTCTTGCGATGGGTCCTCCCAAACAATCACCGTCTCAGTCCTACTCCAGTTCCAAACACTCATGGCAAAGCAGGACGTGATAGCAAGAGTCAACTCATATTCGCACATATTCGTTCCCATGCCTCTCACCTCATTCTCACAATATCGCCACTGGCAATTTCGATTTATGAAACGATTCTTAGCTGTTCTCTTTAATTGAAGGTGGAAGGAAATCAACATATTGTGGATTTTTAAAAGCATTAATTGCAGGAAACGAGGCAGTTTGGGAGTGATGGCACCAATGAGCAAAACGCAAAATTCTTGAGAAAAAAACCACAATCTTCTCTCTGACGCTCAAGGATCGATTCCAGAGCTTTTTGGAAAAATATTTTTGGGGTTCCCGGATCTTCAGTACGTGTGAACGGAAAAGTGATTTTCTTGTCTATTATGACGGATCACAACCAGAAACATGAGTCAGAGAAAGGGTCGCCATAATGTGAATTGAGTAGAAACCTTGATGCACATTCTCATTCTGCCTTTCTTTCTGCACGAACTTTTGAATTCATTCTCATTGAATAATGAAATCGAGCGTTATGAATCAAATCCAGAACTCAAGAGTCCAATGGGTTCGCTGAAAAATCTGTATTGTTGGCTATTTGAACAAATTGCTGATTTTTTTTTCAAAAAGGGGAACAAATACCGTTTATTTAAATATTTAGCACAATTCTGCTAACTGCAGCTACTGACATTTCCCAGCTGCTTATGAAAATCGTGAGATTCATCTCTTGAACTAACACTAAAATGATAACTGGCTCTTCCTATTAGGAGAAATGTTCCCATATTCTATTAGCTGATTCAACCAACTGCACTTGAAAGGTACGTAAAACAAACCATTCATGTTGATCTTAAAAAGTTTAAATGTAACAAAAACAGAAAAACGTGAAACATCGTTTTTAAGGTATTCAATATTAAAACGCTGCTGATGGAAAGATGAAGGTCTGACAATTGATTACCATTGAGCAAGCCTCATAACCTCCAGAAGAAACAGGATGCTCGAACAATAATTATGAGGGAGCATAGAGAATAAGTATGCAATCATTATGCTACATGCGTCATCAGTATCGTACGACCTGTTTACTTTTAGGGCGGAGACGAGAGGTGGAGCATTGAGACTTGTGGACGACACAAGGGAAGGTCTAACATTCAGTCCTTGCCTGTCACGATGGAAGGAAGTGCGAAGGATCTGCTGATGAAAGCGCTCACTGTGGCCGGCTTCGGTGCTTTCTTTCCGCTGGGATGCATCAACGGATGGGGGCGCCTCTACTGCCTTCTCCTCACCCTCGTCGACGTCTCGCTCAACGGCTTAACGATGAGCATGCTCTACCTCCAGTTTCAAGTCCAGGATGGCTTCGGTATGATGATACGCGGTTTAGAGCTGGGATTCGTCGTTGTCATCTTCGCTTTAGTGCTAGTGGATGCTCGAATGCAATGGCGTTTCCCCGCTCTTTTGGAACACCTAACCGTCCTTGAGCACGTTCCACCTACCAGTTTTCAACCTCTGACCAATCCTGGAAATTCCCCGTGTCAGGTAACCACATTAGGGTCGCCGCTTCGCAAATGCACGCGATGGAACTTGAAGCCTTCACAAGCTCGACTCCATAAGTTCTTCGCATTGGCTTTTCTTATTGGGTTCATCCTCTACGGTATGATCTTCACCGGTTTTTTTATGTCCGGTTATCAGTATGCAAAGTCCTTGGGATGGTATTCCATCTCCCTACTTGCCTATATTCATGCCAACGTGAGATTCACCTGTATTCCCGACATGTTTTTCGTGTATGCCTGTCGCCTGTCCACCCTCTCATTGCAAAGAGTCAATTTCTCGCTGAAGAATTTGGACCTGCCGAGTCAAGAGTAAGTCGACGAAAGCATCCCCTTCGGCTACAGCGTCCCCCGACCCCCACGTAAACTCAGTCCTCCTCGCGCGCAGGACTCACCTGGAGATTCAGCAAGTCCTAAAGCGATTCGACCAGGTGAAAGCCTTCGTCCGAGACGTCTCGGACCTGTTCACGGGCTATCGCCTCCTGAACACTCTCTTCCTGGTCCTCTTCGTGACTCTGGAGTTCTTCGAGGAATTCATCGGGCTCCATCCCGGCAACACCTTCTACGCCTCCTTCTCGCAAATTCTCCTCGGCTTAATCATTTTATTTGCTGTGACTTCGCTCGCTCAGGAAGTTCAACGAGAGGTTTGTAAATCCGGAATACCAAATTTTTGTCGATAATTCTCCGGCCAACCGAGTAATGTGTTCTTTCTAGGCCGAGGAGACGATTTCTATAATTCAAGAGCTGAGCTGCAATTCGAACTTGGACGATGGCATGACGGAAACTGTAAGTGTTGTTAGTCCTCTAGTTATTTCTTTTTTTTTTTTAATTAAAGACGCTTGTAGAAAGCAAAAAGGAATCAAGTTTTCCGCTGCGGACATGGATGATTGAAAGATGGAAATGGGGGATGTGACAATTCTTCATGGAATCAAAATGATAGGCATTGCCATTGCGTCATATCATCTGCAAGGGAATTGCAAAGAAGCGAATGATATCTTGAAACTTTCACCGGGGGCAAAGGGCACTCAGCAAGCAAAAAGTCGAGCAGTGGTCAAAGTTTCGGAACTGTTGATGTATGACCTTCATTTCCCTCTCGTTTCCATGGCCGCAGATTCCTAACGTTCAATTCTGCAAATAGTACCTGCATTGGTCGCTAATGGTTGCAGTATAGGTAACCAGAAGCATTATTATTTTCAACGAACATTTACCAGTCGTTCACTGAGGAAAGTCATCAGGAAATAGTTTTTTTTTTTTCTCACGTCCAGTTTCAGGTATTCGTGAGCGAATACGAGATCCAGCCAGTGGAATTCACAGCGGGCAGCTTCTTCCAAGTGGATCGGAGTCTCTTCACTTCCGTAAGTAATTTCCCTCTCTCCATCCTCATCCGATTCCCCGTGAAAGAGGCAGCATTCTCCTTGGAGATCGTAGCGACGGTGGGAACATACCTGATGGTCCTCCTCCAGTTCCGGTGAATCGAGTCGAACCTGGACGTCATAATATCCTATGGGGCGTTTTTCCTTCACCGTTCTTCGCACACAAATAGTGCTAGGATTTTTCTGCTTTTCTTCTTTCAAAATGAAGATTGAGTGAAATGTGGATCACGAGGGTTTTATTTATCAGTGTTTTTTCCTTGGTTGGCTCCCCAGCCGGCAAGGCTGCACGCATCGTGCGAAATTCCGAACCACCAAGAAAACGTGTAGGGCGAAATCCTTATTCCTCTAATCCTCAAGCGAGATCCAGTCCCGGTATCGATCCTTCGAAAATGCCTACCTTCCTTCAAATGAAGATCCCTTGCTTCCGAAGAAATTTCCAGAATTAAGAAAAACACACTGAGGGAAATATTCGGAAAAGCGAATCTTCCATGTTTCCAGGCGTCTGAGACCCTAAGTACACGAATTGCAAAATAATGCAGAAACAAGAACAGGCAACCTTGCTATTTGTGTACTAAATTTAAAATTACACTTCAGGAATAATAAAAATGAGCCAAAATTCATAACTACTACCGAACGCGCTTCAGTTTCGAGAGAAAAGATATACTCCAGTACCAACTACAAGGGTGGATGACAGGACGGTAATAAACCGTAATGCTACGAGCGTAACGACGATTATGAGCGCTATTTGCCTTCAAGGTGGAGAGGAGGGGCGAAACACCGAGCCTCAAAGACGACGAAAGGGTAAGTATAGCATTCAGTCCTTGCCTGTCACGATGGAAGGTAGTGCGAAGGATCTGCTGATGAAAGAGCTCACTGTGGCCGGCTTCGGTGCTTTCTTTCACCTGGGATGCAACGACGTATGGGGCCGCCTCTACAGCCTTCTCCTGATCCTCGTCGACGTCTGGTTCGGCGGCGTGATGTCGAAAACGTACCGCGCTCTATTCCAAGCCCGGAACGACTCCATGGGCATGATGCTCTTCGGTTCAGAGTGGGGTCATTCCACAACAAATCGATCAGCGAGTGAGATCGACCATCCCGGATTTCGACGAAAATTCAGCATACACCTAGAGGAATCGACTTAAAGAGACCAATTTCAACCAATTCTTTATCTCTCCCACGGACCTCCAGATACATGCATTTTAATTTTACATCATTTTCACTCTCGGGAATTGTGACATTTTTTCTGCAATAACTTCCCCTCTATTAAAGAAATTCTGTAAACTTCTTCCTGGTGTCTTTTTGACTGTGAGAATGCTGTCTTTAAAATGATTTAAGAATCTATTCTCCCAAGCTAAAACGAGCAGCTTCACTCGATCAAACAGTTTGATCAAGTTCAGTAGCCAATATCGACACATGCCACCTCGTGAATTCGTTCTTTTAATATTTCATTAAAAAGAGCATGGTATGCCATTTCTGACGAAACAAAATTCGAGATTGGCACTCAAAGGAATTTGTCATACTCCTCTTCTCGCCCCAGAATCGCTCCAGCAAATTTGAAGCTCCATTCCCCCCGAGATTGTGGGGAACAGTTTTCAGAGGAACTCACGCACAGGGTGAATCAACGTTGACTCAACGTTATTTCGTCTGCGCAGCTAACGTTGAAACCACATTGGCCTGTCAACATCGATTCAACATTCAACAGCCACATTGCGACGTTAATTCAACATTTGATTATGTTGATAATCGAAATTAATCTCAACAATTAATTCAATAGGACTCGATGGCGGCCCAACTAGTTTCGGTTAGGACAACACGAAAGTGGGACGCAGACCCCTCCGAGAATTAAAGTTTTTAATCGATACTGGTTTTCCTTCGAATCCACAAATAAAATAATTCTGATGGCAGGCATGAAACAAAAGGGATTTTGAACTGGAAAAGAATTCATTGAATCGAATCAATGTTGATATCGAGGAAAGAGACCAACCGTAAGGAAGATATCGGCTCGTAGATGCCTAAACGTGGCTTTTTCGTTGCACCATTACTCTTGCACCGTTGTTGCACCATTACCATTCTGTTACGCCACCGGCGATGCACCATTTGGCAATTTAAAAAAATGAATTNTTTGATATTCCCAACCACACATTCACCTTGGGTGAGTTCCGTTGCCACTCCTGTAATGCGTTTGGTTGTTGTTCTGCCCATATCCTGCAGTTGTGTCTATTCACATGTCCACAGATATGGAATGTGGCCTCATCGCTGAACAACACATTGTGCATCAAATTTTCACTTCTCACAGCTTCAAGCAGGTCTTCACACATACCTTGTCGGGCAACGTAGTCCTCAGCTACAAGGTTATGCATAATCTGAATGTGATATGCACGTTTCTTCAGTTTGTAACGGAGGGTTCTCCATACGGTGGTTTGTGGGATACCTAGTTCCCTACTAACTCTTCTGGTAGATGCGATGGGGCTCCGTGTGATCGCGTCCTGTATGCTTTGCACGGTTTCTTCTGTTACGGCCGACCTCCCAGGACGTTCCTCGTCATGAACACTACCAGTTCGCTTAAATTTATTGCCCAGAGTCTTAATAGCCATCCTAGTTGGGCCTGGTTTTCTGAATTTGCGGGAAAATTCTGTCCGCACCTCTTCATAGGTCATTCCTCGCAATCGAGCACAAACAATGGCTGTTCGTTCTTCTATAGTCAACATTCTTTCATGTTGCCTGAAAAAAAAAATTTAATTAGTAACGACGTCACAAAAATGTATAGTGACTTTTGAATCACCCTGTACAGTATATATAGACGATCGTGACTGACTGACGCTAATTCTAACCATGTTCCAGAAAGGTTAGAATTCTGAAACTTGGTACACATTCTTGGTACCTTCCGGGGTGCAGAGTTCAGAAAAATACGACTTTGGATGTACATGCCCTGCGGGTACACATTTTGGGGGTCGAAGTAGAAGAAGAAGAAGAAGAATCTTTTTGCCAATAGCGCTTCAATTTCGAGAGATAACATTTTCCCCAGTACTAATAAACCGTAATGCTACGAGCGTAATGCTACGATTATGAGATCTATTTGCTTTCAAGGCGGAGAGGAGGGGCGGAACACCGAGCCTCAAGTACTACGAAAGGGCGACGAAAGCATTCAGTCCTTGCCTGCCACGATGGAAGGTAGTGCGAAGGATCTGCTGATGAAAGCGCTCACTGTGGCCGGCTTCGGTGCTTTCTTTCACCTGGGATGCAACGACGTATGGGGCCGCCTCTACAGCCTTCTCCTTATCCTCGTCGACGTCTGGTTCGGCGGCGTGATGTCGAAAACGTACCGCGCTCTATTCCAAGACCGGAACGACTCCATGGGCATGATGCTCTTCGGTTCAGAGTTGGCAGAGAGTCATTCCACGCCAAATCGATCAGCGAGTGAGATCGACCATCCCGGATTTCGACGAAAATTCGGCATACACCTAGAGGAATCGACTTAAAGAGACCAATTTCAACCAATTCTTTATCTCTCCCACGGACCTCCAGATACATGCATTTTAATTTTACATCATTTTCGCTCACTGGAATTGTGACATTTTTTCTGCAATAACTTCCCCTCTATTAAAGAAATACTGTAAACTTCTTCCTGGTGTCTTTTTGACTGTGAGAATGCTGTCTTTAAAATGATTTAAGAATCTATTCTCCCAAGCTAAAACGAGCAGCTTCACTCGATCAAACAGTTTGATCAAGTTCAGTAGCCAATATCGACACATGCCACCTCGTGAATTCGTTCTTTTAATATTTCATTAAAAAGAGCATGGTATGCCATTTCTGACGAAACAAAATTCGAGATTGGCACTCAAAGGAATTTGTCATACTCCTCTTCTCGCCCCAGAATCGCTCCAGCAAATTTGAAGCTCCATTCCCCCCGAGATTGTGGGGAACAGTTTTCAGAGGAACTCACGCACAGGGTGAATCAACGTTGACTCAACGTTATTTCGTCTGCGCAGCTAACGTTGAAACCACATTGGCCTGTCAACATCGATTCAACATTCAACAGCCACATTGCGACGTTAATTCAACATTTGATTATGTTGATAATCGAAATTAATCTCAACAATTAATTCAATAGGACTCGATGGCGGCCCAACTAGTTTCGGTTAGGACAACACGAAAGTGGGACGCAGACCCCTCCGAGAATTAAAGTTTTTAATCGATACTGGTTTTCCTTCGAATCCACAAATAAAATAATTCTGATGGCAGGCATGAAACAAAAGGGATTTTGAACTGGAAAAGAATTCATTGAATCGAATCAATGTTGATATCGAGGAAAGAGACCAACCGTAAGGAAGATATCGGCTCGTAGATGCCTAAACGTGGCTTTTTCGTTGCACCATTACTCTTGCACCGTTGTTGCACCATTACCATTCTGTTACGCCACCGGCGATGCACCATTTGGCAATTTAAAAAAATGAATTAGTTGTCGTTGGATTCGGCTTGGAGTGCTTGATCGGGTCCAGTGTTGCCGGATACCGTGCCGAAATTCGAAAAGGCCTCTAAGCCAGTGAATGGTATGAGGCCAACATGATCGACCGATGAACGACCTCTGCGAATAGCATTCGTCATTCGCGAAGTCCCTAAGGGTTAGAGAACCGGCAGTTTCCTGCCCTCGGTCAAATGTCCAATACCCGGTCAAAGTGCAATACCCGGTCAAAATGCAATACCCGGTCAAAATGCAATACCCGGTGCATCATCGTCACCATGCGAAGCGATGTCCTTCGCATCGCTCCGGAGGTGAGAGAATCCCGTTCGATTGCAGAAAAGATCCCTGGCGCCGTGCGAAGAGCATGAGCCTCCAGGCTTTTTCGAGTCTCAACGGGAGACGCTGAGAAACCGAAAGCATCGGGTTGAATGCAGATCGTCCCACACTTTCGGCAGGCGAGCTCGAGAGACAACGGGAAAAACGGTCCCACCCATTCAGCGTCATGTATGGGGTCTTCCGAAAGTTGTGTCTCGGGATGTCAAAGGTGCAGTGCCGAAAGCGACGTGCAGCTAGTTCGCTTCCGCTACGCACCATTGGAGCGAAATTCGAAACGTATATTCTCGTGTTAGCCCTGCAA